GCCCTTGCTTTTGTATACAAACACCTACTCATAGCTTGTGAATTCTTTTTCCGTCTTATCAATTTTGATTTGCTTTAACTATATTGTTTGCTTGCTTGCATGATTGTTACTGTTTCATCTCCTTTTTTTAACCTTTTTACTTTTCATTGCAAACTTTATTCATTCTGTTTGCGTTATTTATCTTGAATTTTTATAATGGTTTCTAACTCATCAGTCTTGAAAGTCGTCTTGAATGGCCACATATCTGGATCCATTCACATTAATTCTGATGTACCCAGTGCTTTATCTTTGGACTGATTTTGTTTCTTTTCTTCGTCAATGTCTTTCTCAATGCCATCAGTTCCCATCTAGATATCTATGCCAATAACACAACTATTTACTTAATAGTAAGTATGATAGGTTCAATAAAGTAAAAGCTGCTCTTGAAAATGATCTTCAATTTGTTGTTAACAGGGGCAAGAAATGGCCTGTAAATTTTAACAGAAGGACACAGAATGCATGCTGGGATGTTTTTCTTAGCCAATAAAATGGGATGGCTTGCGTTTTGACATGACCCCATCCAGATCAGTCTACTAGACAGACCTACTATGTTCACTCGTCCGCCCTTGCTTTTGTGTACAAACACCAACTCATAGTTTGTGAATTCTTTTTGCATTTTCTTACCAATTTTGATTTGCTTTAACTGTATTGTTTGCTTGCTTGCATGATTGTTGGTCTTTCATTTTATTTTACCGTTTTTCTTAAAGAAATATATATATATATATATATATATATAATAAAATAAAATAAATAAATAAATCTCCATAGACAAGCAAACTAGACGATAATTAATACATCTTCCGTTTCATTTTTGACACCCCACCTTTTCCCCGACTTGACACCTTGAAAGTATCTCTATAACGCTACTTATTATTAACACCCTACACTCGCCTACCCAATTTAGACAATTCACCCTAGCTGTTACCATGGGGATTTTGATTTCAATTTTTAAAACAAGTAAATTTCAGATATACGTTATTCCAACAAAAATTTCGCTTGAAGATGGAACGGAGCCCATTTTAATTTCAACTCAATTTAATTTAAAGGATTATATTGAAGTTTTCGGCTCTTGTTTTGAAACATGAGACCTCTTATGTAGCGACTTGGAATCATATTTTTAAATAAATAATTATATTTATGCTCTACTTTTGTATCGAGCACTATTTTTTAAAAATAATAACTGAAATACCAAGGGACTTTGGATTATTTACCTAACCAGTTCCTTTCTATTTTCTATATATTTTCACACACATATATATATATATATATATATATATATATAATGTGATGAACAGTCCTGTAGAAGCAAGTGAGCCAGAGTGACTTGCAGCTGGTGCATAGGAAAATAAGGGTCTTACCTCAACGTGTGGCACGTGGCATCGGCAAGTTTGCTCGTTGGAAATGGCATTAATCTCCTGTCTAGTGATTTCAGCAGTATGTGCGATAATGAGAGTTTTTGTACAGTTTGGCATGCTTTGACCAATAGCAAGTTGTGTGCTGATTGGTCGAACTGGAGGAGGCTATTTACCTGGGTAACTGAGAATAAAAGCGAAGAACGCTGATTGGTTGATCGACCAGATAAAAGAGAGCTAAAGCAGTGAGAAGGAAAGACGTATTTTATGTTTTGAAGTGTTTGGAAAGCAAGAACGGCAGATTGAACTAGCGGTATCTTGAATTGTACGAGCAACATCTTAGTAATAGAAACTCATTTAAGCAACAATATATATAACTGAAATAAATTATAATGCATTTTGTATTCTAATTTTTTGTCTTTGTTTCATTTCAGATTTATGACTTTTCCTATCTAAAGTTAAATAATACTTTTGAGTTTAATACATTGCTTTTATTTTTTTTCTTACCTGTTTCATGGTCTTAATTTAATTGCATCCAATGTAGTCTTTATTAATTAATTCTGAAATTAAGAGTTATTGAATTATCATATATCATATTACTCTTCCAATAGGGAAAAGTATTCAATTAAAGGCAGTAATTCAGAATTATTTCCTTTTTGAGCATCCATACAAAAAATAATCTAACAGTTGCTAAAATAAAATAAAAAAATATCAAAATTCTTTTAAAAAAAGGTTCACTCTCAAAAATGGCACTGATTTTTCAAACATGTTTTTAATTAATAAAAATTCTTCTTTTACAGACAGCAACGAGATGAATGAATTTTTTCAAAAATAAATATTGAGTGTAAATTTCTTTTTCCTGTCTATTCTGAAAGAGAATAATCTCCTTTTTTAAATTATGCAAGCACCAATCAGAAAATTTTATTTTTTGAGTTTTATTGAATTATTTTTGGTAAGATTTGGGCTGAATTTTCTGTACGTTTACACTTAATGTTGCGTAATTTTATTTTTACTAGAATATCTTCAGGGTTTTATCTTTATCTGTAAAATAAAGTTAAACATCCCACCAATTAAAAAAAGTACACGAGATGTCAAATTTTTGTTGATCTGTTTCAACAGATCAACAAAAATTTTTTAAGGAAATAATGACTTATTCAGTATAGAATTAATTAATGAATAAGTACTGAAAATTCCATTTGAACCGGATAATTCCCTGATTTTTGGTAAATATTTTAAAATGGGGTAGTGCTTTTTTGCTTTCATTTCAGAAAAAAAGCATCCATTTGTCATATCTAAATCCCTACAGAAGGTTGTGAAATAAAGTGAGAAGAAAGGACTAATTATCAACAGCAAGAATAACAGAATGCTTGGTTGTTAACAAAAGTATGAAATCAACAAGCAAATTAACAATTGGAAATACCAAAATTATTTTAATAATTTCTATTGTTATATGTTATTTTTATAGAACACTTTATATACACTTCAAGCAAATATAGACATTCGAGGGAAATCATGGGAAATTTGTAGTTTAAAAGCAGTAAAATTTACCCTGCTAACCAGACGCTCATTTGTTGCTAAACTGGTATAGCACATTAGGCTATATGATGGTTCCGTGTAGGATACAAGTTTGATTCCTGTTGGAGCATGCATATTTTCTATGAAATTTCTCGGACATTCAAGCCAGTAAATGTTGTTAATACTGTTTATTATAAACAGAGCATTTACTTAAATATTTGTGTTGATATAAATAACATAGTTATAAAACTCAAGCAAGTACAAAAATTTAAATATCAGGGAAGCATTTTAACAGAGAATGGAAAGCGTGACACTGAAATCTGAAGGCACACACGGATAGCCAAAGATGCCTTCCAAAAGCTAAGCAAACTATTAAGAAACAAAAAAATGTTGTTAGAAACAAAGAAAAAAGTACTGAACTGTTATGCGATACCAGTCCGCATATATGGCAGTGAATGCAGGACAACCTCCTCAGAAATGTGGATGCTGCAGATACCCTGGGCTGAACATGTGAGCAACGATGAGGTTTTAGATAAAATGGAAACTAAAAGGACATTTTTACTTAACATCAGAAAGAAACAGATGAAACTTCTATGGCATATAATAAAGAAAGAAGGTTTGGAAAATCTGATACTCACAGGACAGATTGAAGGAAAGAGGGATAAAAGAAACCCACACATAACCTACTTAGTACACTTGAGTTTTGTCGACTGCACAGTATAGTAGGGTCAGTTGGGCACCATCTGTGAGAAAAAGAGCACTATAGCACAATTCCCTTCGCCAGAAATTTGGAAACAGCATGCTGTAATGCTTGGCAATAATGCTGAAATATGAACATTTGGAGTGTTAAAATCCGAGGACAGTGCAGAGAATTCGGAAAGTGTTGAATGAATCTAATAGTGATTACAGAAAACTCACTCTGATCATTCTGATAAAAAAAAAACTCCCAAATTTGTTGGTGAGGGTCTCAGACTAAACACAGAGGCCTACATCAAGTGCCTTGAGGAGGTAGTGCTGCCCTGAGTCAAGAGGGTGGCTGCTGGAAGAACCTATGTCTGGCAACAGGACTCTGCACCATGGCACACAAGTAGGAGAATCCAGTCATGGCTGTCAGACAATTTCTTACCACCTAACTCCCCAAACTGCAACCCCCGTGATTATTATGTGTCAGGTGCAGTTGAATGAGAGACCAACAAAACTCTTTGTAACACCAAAGATGAACTGAAGGCAGGGATTATGGCAGCATTCACAAACTTAAACAAGGAAACCGCCCAGAAGAGTTGCAGGAGATTCTGAAGTCGTCTGGAGGCCGTGGTTGAAGCCAATGGGATTTTTATTGAATAAATTTACTCTTTAGTATTTCAAGATATTTTTATGTAATTTTGGTAAATATATCTGTTAAAATGAGATGTCAGTGTTGTTTTCATTTTTGCGTCATTTAGACGAAGATTTATCCATCGCACCCTGTATATGGGATTTCGGCCTTTGGGATCTTTCCTTATTTTAATTATTAAGCCCAAGCCCTTGTGTGTTGGGTCGGGGAGGCTTGAGAGGGGGGCGGGTTTATTTTCCTGGCGCTTGAAGAGTCCCCAAGGGTAAATGCCGAGTGGGCAAATTTTTCTACGGTATTGCCGTTGAAACCCTCTTTAAACCTTGATCGTGTGCCACATCTGGTAGCGACGTGGGCGCTCTGGTGCGGTTCATTAACGCGGAAAGTGAATTTGGTGAACCGGTTTCAAATGCCGGTTGATCTGCTTGTGAAAGGCATATGAATCTATCCGAACTCCAGCTATGATAGACTGTTTTTTTGAGTGGTGGCCAGTCTATAAGAAGAACAGGTTTGAATTTTAAACCGTGAAGAAAACAACTGTGAACCATTCCAGCCTTTCTGAAAATCCCTGATAATTCACAAAAAAAAAAAGGAAAAGAATGCGCGCGCGCAGAGCTATGATTGCCTACGTCTTGAAAAGACTTATGTGTATGTATGTATGTATATATATATATATATATTTAAAAGTCACCGGGGTGACTTTTACTTTTTAAATCACATTGTTTATTTTTGTCGACTGTAAAAACCCGACCGACAACACAAACCTTTTTCCTCTTTTTCATTTTCAGGAATATTTTCGAACCCGAAATGCGTCTCTTGGTTGGAAAAGGCTTCTGTGAAATTCCTTCTGGGTGAATCCTGGTGCCGAATCCTCGAAGACAACCGGAAAAGACGACGACAAACAAATCTCACCTTGACCAAGCCGGCCATTTCGAGTGGAATTGTTGACGTGCTCAAGGGAGGTAACTCTAAACTACTTGAATATTACTTCCCTTGAAAAGACACTCGGTATATCTTTATGAAGTACTAAGATGTCTTCCCAAAGCTAAGCAAAGTATTAAGAAACAGAATAAGAGTACTGAAATGCTATGTAATATCAGTCCTCCTATATGGCAGTGAATGCTGAACAATCTCTTCACAGATAATGAAAAGGCAATAGAAATGTGGTTCTACAGAAGGATACTGAGAATCATATGAGCAACAACAAAGTTTTGGAGAAAGTTGAAACAAAAAGGACACTTATACTTAACATCAGAAAGTGGCAGTTGAAATTTCTCAGCAATATAATGAGGAAAAAAGTTTAGAAAATTTAACAATGCGTTCGGTGGAGGAGGGGGTGTATTCAACAAAAAATCGAAAATTGTTTTTTCCCTGCAAATTATTCGTTGTATCCAAGTATTTTACAAAAAAATTAGAGCCGATTACACAATATTTTAAACTCAATTTAGGTTTATAATTCATAACCATGCAATGAGATGAGGTCTGGTAACATAAACCTTAGATTGTCTGCGGAATATCATTACACCAGCAGTAGAGCCCGGCGTTGCCCGGGGATGTAACAGTAAGAGATAGATCAAGTATTGACCATCATAAAGACTGAAAAATAAAACTGACAAAGATTATTGTTTAAGATTGACGGACACGCATGTAGTTTTTGTTTTTTGTTTTTTTACGAATTGGTCAAACTTAAACAAAAACATTGTTTTCAATGGTTATGAGTCTATTGATTGAATAGAATTTTATAAACAATTGTCTTGTAAATGGAATTTTTAAAGCATTCTGAATGTAAAAATAAAGAAAAAAAGTGTGCAAGAAGACAATAAGAAACACTACCTGCCAAAGAAAAAAAGTGAGGCCAACACATATGCCATAGTTTAAGTTACTTGAAATCAAAAAAAGATCTTTCAACTGTCTCGATATTAAAATCATTTTTATTTCAATGCAGACTTATAGCCTAAAAAAAAGCAGACACAAAAGTGCCGCTTCCATAAAAGTGGCACTCGGGGTGGTCTACCCCGAGTGCCTCACCTCTAGCCATGCCCGCCAACCTACCCGCCCCCTCTCTCCCTCTCCTCCCCTACCCGCCCTCTCTCCCCCACCTACCCGGTAGAATCGTCACTTGTCCCCACGTCAAAATCCGACCTTGTGTGACAACCTGACTCAGTGGCTTTTCTCGGATTTTATTATTGTGGTGATATTTTTAGGTGGTAACCGCCTAAGGACTGACGAATAATACAGAATTTTGGGGGGGAACAACAACAGTAATGAATAAATAAAGTATCTAGGGGCTCAAGTGACTTAAAATCAGCCTCGGTACTAATAAGGATCATTATTGTCCTGTCAAACAAATATTGATATTTGACAGCGTGCTTAGCGACAAAACGGAAGTCGCCATTTTTTTCCGTCTTTAAACGAAAAGAAAAAGAAATCATGGCGGCCGTCAGTGTCCATGCCGCACACGATCTTCTTTCTTCGACGGAAAGAAAGAAGTTTCTTCACAATTATGACAGAATTATGGACTTTTCCGTTCAAGACAAGGACCAAGCAAATGCCAACGGCAGTATTAACCATTTATTGGATGAGTTAAATTCACTTTCTCTGGAATATTCTAGTGATGTTATTCTTAAAGAGGTAAAAAAAAACACATGGCTTTCTTGTTTTTTTATTTTGTTATAAATTAAAATAATATATATATAAAAACTATTTTAAAATATATTTATTTATTCCTTAAGAAATGTTAATATTTAGTTTAATGTACATTATCTATATCATTTTTGACTTTTGGATGACTTCAAACTGGGTTTTTATTTCATTTTTAAATGTACAAAGTCTAAATTGTATTTTTTTTTTCAATTGAATAAATAAATGTATTAAATTTTAAACAAATTTATTAAAAAAATAAAATAAAATAAAACATGGAGTTTTTTTTACTCTAAGAAAAAATAATTAATTATTTTTTTGTCAGAAGTAAAACTTTGTTTTAAGTTTTAACCACAACAGAAAAACACAAATTTTGGAGTTCGTAAACTTAAAAAAACATGAAAATTTGTTTTAAATTTAGTTATTTAATTAAGAAAAATGACATTATTAATATGTACTTTAAAAAAATAATTTTCGTTTGTATTAAAAATCAAATTTAAAAGATTTTCTTATCCTAAGAAAACCAGCTGTTTTTATTATTTAGGGTTTTTTGACAATAAATTCAGTCCATTTCAAGGTACATGTCTAAAAAGAGCGGTCCTATCTGAAATAATATTTTAAAAACATTTTGTTCTTTTTTACATAAAGTTCTGGAAAAAACAAATTAATTCATTTAATTTTAAACAAGCTTTCTCCTGATTTCATCCTCACTAGAAAAGAATGAACGGAATTGGATAGAAAAAAAACAACAAAAAAAAAGCATTTACAATTCATTTATTTAAAAAAAGAAGCTTACTTTTACCTAGTTGTTTTAAAATTAAGAATAACTTAAGGAGTTTAACGAGTAATTTATTTCTGTTTCAAACAAATATACCCGTTAAAATTTTTACTTTTTCAAATTTCATTACCAAGGAAAATATTTTTTTGTTTTGTTTTTTTTTTTTTTTTTTTTTTTACAATGAAATATTTTAATTATTTCTGTCTATTTGTGGAGGAAAAAGTAAAATTGCTGATTAGGACCCAGAAACCAAATTTTAAAGAGAAGCATCATTAAAAAAAAAAAAAAATTCCCTGATTATTCAAAAAATGGCAGTAAAAATTTGGAAATCTACCACAATCTCAGTTGGATCCCAGGTACAGCACAGCCACCCTGCAGGCCCCCTCGATTACTGCACCCTGCAGGCCTCCTCAATCCATGCCAACATGCAGTCATCAAGACATGTAAAGAAGGCCTAACCCAGCGCACAAATAAAACCCCACTAAAATTATCAATATCTCCTAAACAGTATGTTTCTGCAAATTCTTAATGCTATTTTTGGAATATTCAGGCTTTTTTACACCAGAAATAATGCTTCCATTTTTAAATTGGTTTCTGGTTGCTAATCTGCCATTTTACTGAAAAAAAAAAACAAACTTTGGACACTTCATGAAAAGAATCTCATCACATGAAATACCAGGCCATTACTTCAAACAAGTACAAAATGCAACAGACTCTTTAAGAAGGCTTGAACAGGTTAAGATTGTAGTGATTGGGGAAGCATCCTCTTGGGAGTCAGTTCCACAAAGCAGGTAGAGGGTTACAGAGTAAGAGGCACAGTTTATGCGGATATGTGGGGAAGATAACGGTTGATCCTAGATTTGAAGAGGTCGAGATTGTACAACAGCCAAAATGTAAAAATAACAACAAAGATGAGGACATTAGTTGTATTGTAAATAATAACTCCAGACCCCCAGAAATCTCAATCTGGAGTACATAGGTTCACCTATCGCTTAGTTCACACTCCTTATTGAACAGGAGTAGAGGTTTATTCCTTGTTTCCTGTTTATGATTGAGTTTCCAGTGCTTCCTAAAGCCTGCTTACTCTCTCTCACTCTCAGTAACCATTTGCGTCTTAGTGGCTTTATTGCCTTGCTTGGGGTGAAATGATTAAAAAAAATAATGCATCTTTTATCAACTATTTGATCATTTGCAATACAATAATGAAAAACCATCAATTTGGATGAAATTTAGTTAATCCGAACTGATTGGACCGAAAACTTTCATCAATCACAATGAGTGCCTATTGAGATTTAAGCTTAGCCCAGACTTCAAGTAGAACTCATATAGCTGTTCTACCAAAAAAAAAATGCTGGGAAAATGGTCAGTTCCCTGCTATATCCTACCTTTACAAGAGCCAGATCAGGCTGAAAATGGAGTACTCTTGCCATCGATGGGCAGGAGCTCCCCAGGCTTTGCTTTCCAAAGCATTTCCATGTTCTTGTGGGTGACAAATTATTTTTTCACCCTGCAACCCCTTTCTCTCGGATGACACATCACAAGACTCTTGCTGCTCTATTGCTATTTCCATTGAAAGTGTTCAGATAAACTTTATTCCTTAGTGGCTGTACCAGTTCTAACCTTTACGACCGAGACCCACCATGCCACACACATTATAGCAAACCGCCCTCATTACTTTTGTATTCCCCTGGCCAGATGTAATTTCCACTCGAGCAGCTTCTTGTGCAGCCAACTCCCACGAGGATGCTTCCCCGATCACTACAATCTTAACCTCTTGAAGTCTAGGGTCAACCGTTATCTTCCCCACGTATCCGCATAAACTGTGCCTCTTACTCTGTAACCCTCTACCTGCTTTGTGGAACCGACTCCCGAGAGGATGCTTCCCTGATCATTACAATCTTAACCTGTTTGAGTCTAGGGTCAACCGTTATCTTCCACACCTATCCGCATAAGCTGTGCCTCTTACTCTGTAACCTCTGGTATTGTACAGGGTGAACCTCATTGTAAAAAAAGAAAAAAAAAATTTTAAATTTAATTTTAAAATTTAAGGGGAATGTAAGAGAAATTACTTCTAGTGTGTTCAGAATATTTTGTATAGGAATAAATTGTTGCTGCCGATGTTTGAATATAGATCGCCAATGAGCAAACACATGCGATCCTATTATTGAACTAAGTAGACCATGTGACCATAAAGGAAACACATAAGTAGGAAGTCGCGTGACATCTAATTGATCGTCATTTCTAGTCTATCCTCTGTTACTATTCAGATCTATATTTCTACTCTATCCTCTATTACTATACAAACTGCTATTCTCTCCTCTATTCACTATATGGATTACTATTCCAATGAGTATAATCGAGCAAGTACTTTTAGTGCAAGCATTATTTGAAGGCATCTGACACCAGTGTTGTTTCAATGGTGTATTATAGTTGTATCTGCAATTACAAAGTCTCTACTACAACAAGCATTACAAAAGTGACAACCAGTATCTGTTGACATCGTGAAAGTGGCAAACGAGTGTTTGTTGACATCAGAAAAGAATATGAGGCTTGTTTTAAAATATTAAGAGAGTGTGTGTTTATCATGGATAAAATCATTTAAAGCATTAATACCAACAAACCTCCCACCCTACTTTTTTTTTTTTTCCCCCTCCAAAGTTCTGAAATTTGAAGTCTTTTATTTTCAGGAAGGAAGTAAACTCTTGTCTAAGTTGTGTGGAATCGTTTCTTACCATGAAGAATTTCTCATTGCCAAATTTTGCCAAACCATTTTCAACATCATCACAAAAACTCAGGTAAGCTGCTGCTGATAATATATAGCGGGAGTTCCCTCTATTTGTTGTGGAAGGATAAATGCAAGAAGTGTGGTACTTGAATATGACACACCCCACTTCTTATTACTGTCTTGTCCCACAATCTTTTCTTCGATGTTGTCTCTGGGTCGATAAATTCTATATCGTTAGATGAATAAATCTGTAACCCCAAGATGGAAGAAAGCATTTATTTTGTTCAACAAATATTTATTTTTAGCATAATCTCTTTTATTGTTCATGTACTTAATGCAGTGATAAATATTAATCATATTGATTGCACACAAGGCCGGTTCAAGGGTCTCATTATCTCAACAACAATTCTATGAAACACTCTACTACAACTCAATTTTCATAAGGTGGTATTCATATAAAATACAAATTTTATTGTAACCTAATTATGTACAATAATGGATCATTGATATAGATCAAGAATTCAACTTGAAAAATTGAAAATAAATCCAATGTATCTAAATACAAATTAGACGTGTCATAAAAGATCAGTTCATCTTAAATAAATCAATGTTTTTGTGGCAATTTTTAACATCAACCTGAGATTTTTTTTCTTTAAAAATTGTATTACCACTTTGCCATTTCTTCAAAAAAAATTGTGCTAAGATGTCCAAGGCCAGTGCAAAGGGTTTTGGGTCACTCCCTGAATCTATGAAAAACGACCCTTCCACTCTACTATTTTTGAAATTTCAATTTTCCTAAGGCAGTATTCATATAAGATACACATATTGTAACTTAATTATGTACAATATAGGTGAACAATTCGACTAAAAAAAAATTGAAAATGAATCAATGTATCTAAATACAAATTAGGAAAATGTCATAATAAATCATTCCATCTAAAATAAATCAAAAAATGTTAAATCAATTTTTACCATTAACTTGATTTTTTTTGTTGAATAATTTTAACATTCAACATTATGAAAAAAAAGTAAGTGTTTGTTATTTTTTTGTCCCCCCAAGATTTAGTATGTGCAAAACATGCAAAAACAAAATTTACAGATTTACCCCCCATGCACCAAAATGACATCAAAATCTGCAAATGTTTTTTTTATCCTTTAATAGTCAGTTGTGCTTAGTTTAATTTGTAATGTATATACATGTAGGTAGAAAAAATAAAACAAATGTAGCTAGGGTCCCAAAGCACTGTCAGGAGCTTTCAATTTAGGCTAAAACAACACCAGCAATGTCTTTGCCAAATAGAATCTTTTGGAATCAAAATAAAAATGTCAATGTATCATATCCACCTCTATCGTGATTCACTTTTGAGATGATCCTGGGAAGTGGGGGAGGACACGAGAACTTTTTTTCTTTCTATGAACTGTTATTTT